AAAGTGGAATTCAAATAATATTCGTAATAACAACATTTTTTTTACATATTATGAATTTATATGAACTATATGAAAAAATCTTATAACAATTAAAATATTATAGAATCAACATTTTATTCTTGAAATTAACAATTGATATATTATTATTATTACATAACATTTATAAATATTCATTTTATAGAATTTCTTTTTTAAACATTGAAAAGTATAGGGAAAAGATTGATATTTTCTTTGTAATATTCTATAAATATGGTTATAGATTTTTTTCTTTTGGTATGTTTGTGCATATAAACTTTAACTAACGGAACGCTATTGGATCGAATGACAAAGACATTGTTGAAAAAAGATGGCTTTTCCCGGATGAAATGAACATAGGATTCATACATTGGGGTTTTCAATTTATAACATTTTTTTTTTATATTCATATTTGTTTCTTAATTAAAAATTATATTTCCTCTCTACTTTTTGTTTTGTTTTTTTATTGTTTTAGTCTCTCTATTTTTGGTCTAATTTTCTATTTATAATTTGTTTAAACCATTTTAATTTTGTTTCCTAACTATTTGGGATTATTAGAATTTGTTTTTTACTATTTAGTTAGTTGCTGGACAATTATTTTGTTCATTTTCCATTTTTAATTTTACTCTTTTAAATTAATTTTAAAATTTAGAGAAATTTTAAGAATCTCACTTTTGAAGTTTTACTTTTCAAAAATACCACACTTTCAAATCTTTGCAAAAATGCCACTTTTTCAAAATTATGTTTTCGTTATATTATTTATGTTTGGGTTAACTATGCTGTATTAGAATTTAATTTTTAGAGTTTAGGGGGTTTAAGGGATCAGAACATTTTTTAGGCATTAGAATTTTAAGATTTTGGCTTTAAAAATACATAATTAGTGGTATTTTTGCAAATGTACAACCTATAATGGCATTTTTGTAAATAGACATCCAAAATAACATTTTTGCAATTGCACTAAATTTTAACACATATTATCATCTAATCAATATTGGACACATGTCACGATCTGATTAGTTATAATTTTGCTTACGTGTCAAACTCTCGTCCATAATTTTTTTCTCTCTCTACTATTTTTTGATGTTTTACACTCTCTTTATTTCTTTCTTAATTTAATTTTCTAATTAGTTTAAAATATTAGATTTTTTAATCTAGTTAGCGTAGATTATTAGAATTTTTTTCTCTCATAATTAGTTTGAAAAATAATTATTATTTTTTTACTATTTGGTTAGAGACTTGACAGTTATTTTGTTTGTTTTCTATTTTTATTTTCATATAATTTTAAATAATTTAAAATGTTA